CTTCCAATTTTGTAATCAGTATTTTATCTCTCAAAAGGGTGCAGAGGAGCCATTTCCCCTTCCCTTTCTTCATTTCCATAAAGCAGGCAACTTAAAGGAGCACATATATCAGTGTCTATAAAAAGGCATTTCCAATACAAAATTTATCTGTGCAATAAAATTTGTCTGTACCCCAAGCCAATGGAACCCCACAATCAGTTTGAGGGGTTCCCCAGCTATTCAAATTATTAGCCATATCATATATAGTTTTTGCCAGCCCCCTCTTATTTTTTGGTGGGAGCTGACAAACCTGAAAACATATAACGTACAAATGTTGAACTCAGTGATATTGTCATTTCCACATAAAGAAAGTTAGGATAATCCATAACAATTGCATTTGTAGAGAGTAATTCTTCATGTTTTTATGAAGGAAAAGGCTGTGAAATCTCAAAAAGGGTTTAATTTTGGCTCGGTGTATTTCCAAGTACATCCACCTGAAGAAGAAAATGTGTAATGTCATATAAACCAGTAAACTTATTGTACTAGAATGAAACAAATCTTAAAAGCCATTAAGAAAAAGTAATATTTTTAAAACTATTATTTCCCCCCTCCCCTTGGATCCACAGTGAGCAAGTTTAAGAGTGTCAGAGATGGCAAGAGTAATGCCATCGGGAGTCTAGACTCTCCCACTTAGTCTGGTCTCCATGCAAGGTCACTGAAGCTAGAAGGACCAAAGCTGAGACACCCAATGAAGATGCATCCATCCTCTTTGGGAGTAGCAGTCATATCAGTAGAAGAGGATGGATATCTGTAATGGTGATGGGGCAGAGAAACTTCTGAAGTTTTTGAAGGGACAGATACCAGGCAGCAATGGTGGTTGAAGGGAACACTGGTGGAGAATCTTTCAGCAGTGATGCTCAGGCTACTTCTGGTTAGTATCGTGCAGAAGGTGGCAATGGTAAACCACTCCTGAATTTTCTTACCTTGAAAACCCTATGATGAAACGATCCAAAGTGAAATGAGAGAATGCTGGAAGATGAGACGCCCCGGTCAGAAGGCACTCAACCAGCTATTGGGGAGGAACCCTGACAAGGTGAAAGGAAAGACGAAATGGTGCATGACACACAAAATTGGAATATGGAATGTGAGAAGAACTGAATCAAGGCAAACTAGAAACCCTAAAGCAGGAAATGGAACAGCTAAACGTTGTAATACTTGGTGTGAGCAAACTAAAGTGGATTGGAATGGGAAATTTTCAGTCAAACAAACACAAAGTGTTTTACTCTGGAAATGGCAAACTCAGAAGAAAGGAAGTACCGTATTTTTTGCTCTATAAGACGCACCTGACCATAAGACGCACCTAGTTTTTAGAGGAGGAAAACAAGAAAAAAAATACTGAATCAAATGGTTTACTAAACTATTTAATAAACTATAACAGAATACAATAATACCGTATTTCAACCTAGTAAAGTGAACAGCAGTCAACAGTGGCAATAAGAACCATCATCACTGTCATTAACAAGAGAGAGACTTTAAAGTTCGAGTACTCTTCTAGTTTTCGTTGAACCCATAGAACTCATCATCACTAGAGTCAGAATTTATGAAGCTCTGTTGCTCACAATCACTGACATCACTTTCTTAGTCAGTAGTGGAATTATTGAAGGAATCCACAATCTACACCAGTTATACAAGAGCTGCTGCAGACAATTCAATAACTAATCTAAAAAAGCCAGTAATGTCCACGCTGCCCTACTAGTAAATAATAGCAAAAAACTTCTGACAAAAAATGAGATATTGTACGGTAAATCAAACACACAGCGGACTAAGTAGCCTTTGAAGAATTAACTTCATACACGAAGGTAATGCTGCTCAAATATCCACTGATCCTAAAAAAAAATGTGTCTGATCAACTAACAGATAACTGTTCCATGGAAAGTTTCCTGATAATCACAGGCACATTCCCCATCACTTCCCCATGGGCTTCATTAAAAGACGGGTTGCCATTTGAAAACACACACTGACCTGTGATTAACAGCTCTCACCTGTGCCGGAGGAGGGGGGGCGGAGCAGGGCGGGCCGAGCGCGTGCCAGCCAGGTGGTGCCACGTGGGGCCGGCAGCGTGCCAGCGGTCTTCCGGGTGGTGCGGCGCAGCAGGTCTTCCCAGGCGGTGGGGGTGAGCAGTCCGTCTCTCTGTGCGGCTGGCAGGTTAAAGCCCGCGGCTCCTCCTCCTCTGCACTGCTCCCCCTGAGCGACACAGCTCTCACCTGCGCTGGAGGGGGGGGGCAGAGCAGGGCGCGCCGAGCGCATGCCGGCCAGGTGGTGCCACGTGGTGCAGGTGGCCGGCAGCATCCCGGACATCGGGCACACACACATTCGCTCTATAAGACGCACAGACATTTCCCCTTACTTTTGAGGGGGGGAAAAGTGCGTCTTACAGAGCGAAAAATACGGCAGCTCTAACCCTGAGGGTAGATGTAGCACAGGGACTTGCTACATCTACTCTCATCGCACCTCACACACTTCCTGGTGCCTTCAGTGCCACCTAGAAGCTAGGAAGGGGAAACGAGAAAATAGAAGAGACAGAAAGGGACAGAACAAGCTAGGTCTCACGAGCATGGAGAGGGTTTCTTTTTTCAGGGTTTTTTTTAGTGATATAAAGGGAGCAGTTTTTTTTAGGGAAAAAGGCTCGTGAGGATCAGAGATTGGGTATATAGGAATGTGATGAAAATGAAAAAAGGAAAGGAGAAGAAAATGCTCAGAAAAAATCTAGTGAGAAAGAACTTCCTGAGGCACAGGAGGTGGTCAAAGAAAAACTGAGGATAATGGTGGGAACTTCTCCTTTTCATATGGATGCTGGGGTGAGGGAGGGTTCCCACCAAAAAGCTCTTGAGTATTCCCAGTAATGGCTTCCCACAGAACCTACATACGTGATGCACGAAGACCATGAAGAACTGGGAGTTAACATGATTCGTTCACTTCAAAAATCAAGCTATTATGAGCAAGGCATGAGTCCTTCCAAAATATAGGGCTGGCTTGTTCTAGTGTCAAAACCTGTTGCTACTAGACAAAACTTCCCACAGCCACCGGTCTCTCTCTCTCCCTCTAAACTAACCATGAAGGACATCATGATCAAGACTCCTGCTCCCAATTATTAGACTTCAAGAGCTCCTAGAATCCTTGAAATGTACTTGGCCGTCATTGCTTGGGGAATGGAGTTCTCAATACAGATTGAGCTATGAGGCTTTCATTGGACACTTCCAAGAATAAGGAGCATCCGGGCCTGAAATGTGGAAGTGTCTGCTCATTTATATTAGCCCTTTCTCTTTGCCAGGATATGTTTTAGGGAGGAGGAATACAAGAGAACTACAATTTGGACTGGGTCTTTCCAATCTCTCTTGGAAAAAACTTGGAATGACCTCTTTTTCTCTTAATCATAGGCAGGGATGAATGGAGCTTGTCTATCTCGGAATTTGGACCTGACTAGAAATCCTCCCCTCTTCATCTCTCATTTGTAGAAACTTAAAGCAGAACCTACAAGAAAAATAGCCTTACCAGAAATTGGAGCCCTTAGGCCACTGTTTGCACAGCTGAAGCCCTGCCTTCCACTTTCAACAATTACAGGAATGCTGAGACAATTTTGGAGGTTTGAGTAGGTACCCTTCATTCATCTGTTACATGTTGCTCAAATCCTAACTTCACTGCAAGGTGCACATCTCACATCTTCTCACTTACTTCTTTTTTTCACCAAATTAATTTTCTATTCAAGGATTTTTCCTTCAGATGTTTTGCTACTCCTTTCCAGTGTTTAAACCCAATATTCCAGCAGTAGAAAGAAGGGTTTTTTCCAACAGGAAGCTGAACAGTAGTCGGAAAAATCTGACACGAACAACAAAAAGATGCGCAATAGAGACCAGAGCTGGTGACACCTTGGCAGTTCCCTGGGTGAAGCCATCAGTGGTAAAGCTGTCTCTGCAGACAGCTGTGAGCAGCAAGGGAGGCAGTGATCTGAAGGCTTCCACCCGCTCTTGTCCCTTCTCTCCTTGATGGAGAAGGATCATGGTAACAGCAGCAACCCACCCTGCACCTCCAGTCATAATTTCCCGGCATTTCTAGGACTCCAGTATGACATCACTTGCCATATTCTTGATCATCTTTTTGCTGCTGCTGCTGTTGCTGGGAGCATGTTGCCTCAACACTATGGGAGACGTGTTCCACTAGTATTAATTTCTGATATTGGAATCCCACATTGCTTCCCCAAGCATTTGGAGAAACTCTTGTTATCACTGAAAATGCTTTATGCTTCTGCAGAAAAACTGCTTGGGACTACTCTTCTGCTCAGCTTACATTAGTAGAGTGAAGAAGCATTAAAAATATTCCCTTGATAAAAGTTTCTTCAAAACACATTGCAGACCTTTTCCTCAAAAAATGTTTTCCCCAGATAGAGATAGCTGAGCTTTTTCCAGCCTTGTGCCTCCAAAATGTTTTGGACTACATCTCCCATCATTCTCAACCACTGTCACACTGGTTCTGGCTGATGAATGCTGCAGTCCAAAATATCCTGCAGGCACAACATGTAAGATTGCTTGGCTCAACCACTTGCATTTATGAAGGGAGAGGGATGCCCCATTGAATAGAAGGATTCTCCATGAGGAACACACCATCTGTATGGAAAAATTGTCAGTCCCATGTGCTACCTGTTTTCAGAATCTGTATTTCTCAATTCACTGCTTTTGGAATAATACTTGTATCTGTAAAAGCAGAATCTGAATTGGCTTCAGTTTGGTTTGAATCTATTCAAGTCCCAAAATTGATCCATAAATTTATGTTTGGATTAAATTTTCACACAAGTTGTTTGTCTCAGCCTTGCCGATTAACTAAATTATAGCTTTGTCCACAGGGGAAATATTAGCTAAAATATGTTTCGTTCATTTCCAGAGATATATCTAATCATCTGGATGTTATGGCCTTTAAAAATGCATTACATTGCACAAAGAGCTATGAAACAAATTGAGAAAAGCAACTTCTTTTAAACTACAGTTTAATCAGATTTGAAAGACACAAATTAGAAAAAACATTTATAGGCAAGTTAAAAACACCTTTAAAACATAGCAGTGTGCCACCTCTGTGTAGCATCTCTGAGACAAAACTAGAAATAAGTAATTATTAAAATATCACATCACAGTGTAAACTAACACAGTGGTATTTAAAATTACCATACACCAAGACCTAATTTTATGGATTTGTTGAAAAATAACAATTTTTAAAAAATATATATATTGGAATAATAAAAACAAAATTCATGGACAATGTCTTTATATTCTGAATCAGGGAAGGCAAGTTGAGGAAATACTGCAACTATCCACTTTTGAAGCATATTCTTATTTCAAAAAGCAGATATTCTGAGGGAAGGGAGTATATGATCTCTGCATTGAGCTAAGCAAAGAACCCTTCAATGTGTATCTAGGTAGGAAATATCAAAATCCCATATTTATATTTTTAATTGAATAAATTTTATATTATTTTTAATAATCATGTGTGTCCATTTTAAATTGGAGCACTAGTTACCATTCAATGCCTATAGAAAGTTATCTCTAACTGAACTAGAATATACTTGAGGTCTGGTTTTGGAACAACTATCTACATGTTATGGTTTTTGTATGATACTTTTTGCCACTGTAAGACACATCCAAAGACTTCATAGAAATAGTCAAAATCAACAAACATGAAAAAGGTATGGAGTGAGAGATTCATTAGAGTTAAGAACCTGACATAACACATGCAAGGCAAATAATAATAATAAAGAGTGTAGGCAAATGTTCCTTTTATACAGTTTTCTGGCCTAAGTGCTAATGTATCTTTGATATGCACAGCTAAACAATGTTTTGAGACCTCCTCTGTGGAAGCAGAACATTTCACATTTAAGTGTAGTGGAATTCCAGATGAGGGAAGTGTCTGTAGATTGCTACAGCAAACCTGACAATGAATTCAGGGCCTCACTCGATTAAGTGCTCAAACAAAAGGGCCTTTTAAATCCTGGCATGACAGTGAGGTTGAAGTCCTGTTAAGGTCCAAGGGTTAAAAAGAGCTTCCAGTATTTTCAAGTGGGTCCAGGCCTGAAGTTGCATATTAGGGTAAAAAAAAATCACTGGGTATATCCAACAGCACAAAAGTAGATATTTTCTTGCACAATAGGGCTTTCCTCCCACCCTTCCCCGCTGCAGCCCTCTAAAAAGGCTTTCCTGGGATTAGAGGATTGTCAAGGAAGGCCAGGCAGGGAAGGCTGTAGTCTGAGGACAAGATGCCCTAAGCTTAATGGGGGCAGTTTACACAAAATGTTTATTCTCCCATACCATATTCTGGGTCCCTAACCCAGAAAAGGCTTTCTGAGGGAGGGGAGGGGATAGAAAATCCAGTTGTGTGACCAGACCTCTGCTTATGTAACATTGGTTCAGCCCACTCTGTTTGGGATTTTAAAGCAGTTCACCTCCAAGAGAACAAAATTCTCAGCTGCAAGTTACTAATCCTGCCTTGCAAAAGCAAATCTGACACTATTTTCCCACTCACATGGGAGGCTGCCCTAATGTGGAACACTGCATGGACAGGCATTTGTAGTGGATATTCCAAGCTGCACATTTAATCCAAAATTAGTGAAAAGAAAGCAGAAAGAGCAAGCATTGATTCATAGACGCACATGTGTTTGGTTAATGCCAAGCTTTGAGGTATGATATCACACCCTTTTAAAAGTTTTATACCAACCCTAGCAAAAATAAAGACAAAAGCTACCTGGGTCAATCAATAGTCTGGGAAAATATATATATTTGATTTTTATGCTATTTTAAGACAATGGCTCTGAAACCTTTCTATACTGGGGCCAGTCATCATCCTAAGTATGTCTATTTTAAACCAAGCTGCTACTCACACCAACAGGTTAGATAACAGTTCACCAGCTTACCCCTATGAGCAGCCCCAGCCCACCAAAGAGGAAGTTTTGATGTCACTGCCTGTCAGAATCTGAGAGCTTTGGCCACACAACACAGAAGACAATCATGCCGCCAGTCTTCACGAGTAATCCTCCTGACTCCTCAATGGCACTTCTGCATGAGTGAAGGACAGGACTCCAGTAAAGCAGCCATGTGAGCCTGCTGTAGCAACCCTTCAACAACAGCAACACAGACATGAAATTGAGGGTTCTGCATCACTTCAAAAACTAAGGCCAGGGTCTGTGGACTTCCCCCATGTGCACACTCAGAAAATCATGTATCCTTCTGGAGTGGAGGTGCTAAGATTCTCCTGTGCCACTGAATGAAGGAGGGACTATAGTCCATGCTTCAGATTTGGACAGCTCCAGGTTTAATCCCTGATATCCACCATTAAAAAGATCTAGAGATAGTGGTAAAAGGCTCCTGCCTGAGATCCCAGAAACCACTGTCAGAATGGACAATACCTGGGCTACCCAGACAGAGAGCCTGACCTGATTAAAAGCAGATTCCTGTGCTGTTCTCAAGCTCAGGAGCACCATCTTTTGGACAGGAGAACAAGGAGCAACAGTTGGAATGGAATACATGTCATCCCTTGAATCCTAAGCTTGCAAATTTGTCATTAAGGAACTGATTCAGAGAGAGAGGATCGTACTTGAGTCTTTTGACAGAGTCTCAGATAACAGACAATAGAACAGAAATGTCCTTTGTGAAAGTTTTGGATACCTCTCAATTTGCACATGACAAATTTCCACGTGTTGTGTCAAGCTTAAGAGTTCCCACTTTTTAAACAAAACTCTAGTCTTTATCTGGACACAGAGCTGGTGTCTTTCCAAATTCCTTTAAGAGCCAAGAACATTATTACTGTGATGCATGTCAAGTTTGTGTTAGTTCCAAGCAACCAGAAGTTGTCTTCAAAATTCAAACATGTATAAGCACCTTGTTTTTTAAAAAGAGACAGAGAATGGTAAATTGCCAGGAGAGACATGTGGAACACTGATTAAACAAAATCCTTTTCAAATTTATGAAGTGGCATTCAGAAGTTATAGACTGACGTGAAGTATTGACATTTTGAAGTCATTTCCTCAGGACTGAAGGCCCTATTTTGAAATGGTCCCTTGCAATTAACTCTTTCTGTTTCCTGGCTGCAATCCAACTGAAGTTGGTCAAAGGATCTCAATGAAATGAATGGAAGATGTTCGTCTCACACATCCCAACTAACTTCCCAGCTCTCTGTTTTCAATAAAATTGAGTTTCTACTAAATTTAGCTAGATTGAGGCCCTTTATAAAGAGGATGTATTTCATTTATAACTAGAGGAACTGGAAGGTTACAAATTTATTTAAAATTTGGAGAAACATGCACTTAATTCTTAGAGTTGTGCAGAATGTTTCACCCACTGAAAAGTAATAATAAAAGATCAATTATATATTTAAGCACAACTTAAATATATAATTGTATGTTTACTCAGAAATAAGTCCCGCTGCACATCATAGATTTATCTAAGTGTGCATAGAAGTGCAGCCCTAATCAAGCCAAACTTCACTGGAGGACAGAATTTAGACAAAAATTTCATGTTCATAGTTTATAATCTGAAAGCGAAGGCAAAAATATATTATTTTCTATATTCTTTGTGAGTGCCCACAATGTAGATATTATGCAATTATACCATTCACATAAGAATCCCAACAGTAGGTAGAAAACAATCATGGATCTTAAGGGGCTCATCCTAGTTGTTGTTGCCTGCCCCAAATGCTACTTCTGGCTTAGGAGGGAGAGAAGCAGCATTCCATACTTCCTTCTTAGATTTTGAGAGTCACAGATGGTTTGGAAAACCCCTGGACTTGCTTCACCTCAGGGAAGGACAGCTGGGCCAAAGATAGGTGGAAAAACATTGGACCACCTGTTTGGTATTATCCTAATCTTAACTGAGGCCATTGCCATTGTAGTGGCTGACACTCAGGGAAAATTTAAGTGATCTGCTCAATTTAGGTTGTATATAGAGGTGGAGTGGACAATGTAGGAGAGTAGCAAATTCTCCATTCCTTCTCCCAGCAATTCAACTTTACTAGTCTTTTAGTTAGATGTACAGAAATAGAAGTCAAAGTAGCCGATGCAGAAAAGCTCAGTGATTCCCACTGAGCTCTATGGGGAGAAGAAAATGGCCTCTTTGGATACAATTCCAGAGTGGGTTTCCCACATCCCAGATTCTGAGGTCATGCAAAATGGTGGGGGATGGGGGGCACCACCAATTCACCTGGGTGTCTATGTGACACATGCCATTTACTGCTATGGAAGAAAGTAACGCACTTCACATGAACAGTATTATAGTTGGGACAAACAGACTCATGCTCCTGGCACTAGACTGTCCTACTTCTACTGACAGACGCTGCCACACCACATACACACCTCTGCACAGGATGTAGCAGTTCCAAGGATTTTCAGCAAATGATAGAAATCAGTTATAGCAAACACATGAGCACAGCTCTAATGAGCTGCCCTGCCACCAATTTCATGTGCACTGAGGAAATGCCCCCCGCCCCCCGGCCTCTGGATCTACATTGAAAACATCTGCACAGAGAATGCCTTCACATCTGTGGCTGTTCTGCATGATCTAGAACTCTTGTAACATAGGGTCAGGTGAAGATCATGTCCCTGCAAACATGCACACTGTATGATAAAGCACCAAGGGAAGGAGCTACAAGGTGCAGTCCTACGCAAATTTTGCTGTAACCTCTTTCTACAACAACCAAACAGACTTGCATATACATATCATTTCAACAGATGCTTCACATGACTAGTTGTTCTAATATTTATACTCACTTCTGCGACATAGCCGGTATGAAAAGCTCTTTTAATGAGCATGGTTACCTGCTCTCCAAAACAAAACAATCTTCCATCCTGCATTTCTAGCAATGAGAGCATTAACAGGCACGTGTTTCCTCAGAAGGCACCTGTCTCCAGCTAGCCACAAATCTCAGGGAGGCAGACCAAGGAAAACTTGGAACACTCAAACTAATTTATCCTAGTTCTTTCTTTTGATTTATGGGATCCTCTGTGAACACTGAATTTAGGATACTTTGAGATTTCTCCATCATGTGTTTGCCATGTCCTTGACAGCAGCAAATTTTACCTTTCTGTGCTTACTTAAACTATCCAGTCACATAGTTACTAAAGTTTAGGGTATTAATATCACAGAGAAAATTTGGCCTCAATAGTAATCTGATCCCAATTTCGTTATTTTTGCTGTGGCATATTTTTTATATTTAAAAAGATTAAATGGTTTGAACTTGCTAAAAACAACACAAATGGTATGCAAATAAGCAAATAAAAATCATAGCCCTTTAGTACTTAATTTCTTGTAACAATTGTTAATCTTCACCAAAAAGTGATTAATGTTTATCAATTCCCTTGATATATGTTAAAAATAAAATTATGAGAGAACAGAAGGGTTGGAAACATTTTATCAAAGGGTTCAATACGTTTTCATTTACGAAATCTTGGTTTAAGGATTTCCTAAACCACAGGGCTTTCCAGTGTTACGGTGTTTATAATGTCAAAGATGAGCTAGATAACACCTATTCAACATTTTCATCCTTTGTTTAATATAAACTGAATTAGACCGATAATATAATCTGGCTATACTTATATCATAAGCACCTTCTCACACTAATTCTTTACATCTCTGACAGAATTTCCAAATGAGAGTATCTGAAGATCATTCTTTGCAAAATTATTTGTACATGATAAGAACTAGGGGTTTTGCAGAAAAGTTGATCCGTTAACAGGAACTCCAGCAGTGTCCTATGATGGCTGCCATGTTGCTCGTGTATACTGAAAAAGCAGTATAAACTTAAACCAGAGCATATTGCTCTGGAAAAGATGATCATTGAGTTTTAAAAGGTTTCCAGAGGGCTCTCTTGTAATGACAATGTTTCAGAAAAAATCGACTATAATTTGGCATTGGCAATGTTGGTATTCCTGTACTATAAGAAATTGATATTCTAGGAAAAACCTCCAAATACTGAGATGTGTATTGCAATTCCTTCTTATTGATTCAGACATCAATATTTTCTGCTTTCACTTCTCTTTTTGTCTTTCAGTATCCAAAACCTTGTATTTAAACTATGCTTCCCACATTATGTTAAACATGAAAATACCACTTAGAAATGTTATTTCAGTAGATTGAGGGTTTAAGGCAAGGCATTTGCTTGTTATTTTCCTCTTGTTACTCAGGACTGAAACCAAGGTTTCCCCACCACCACCCACAGTGCCTCGGGATACACCACGTACATTCAGCAAAGGGGCACACCGATGACCCAGTGGACATATGCGGCAAGTCCTGAGTGCCCATTGAAATAATGGTAATATTTTCATATAAGGCGTGATCCACAGGAACATGGCATGGGAGAGGTTAATTTGCTTTGTTTCCATTCTTACTAGCGTATTCAATATTCCCTAAAGATAGCATTCTTTTCTTACTAACCATCTTTTCAAACAAATACAAACCCCTTTAAAAGGTGCTATAAATGGGTTTTGAAAATATAAAATATATCCCCCATAGCATTTCTAATCATTGTTTCACTGCTGTATTTCTGCAGGTGATTTCTCTTTTTTGATTGAAACTATTTGCTGTAGAGTAACTGTTATGTCCCGTTATGTTTTTGTCGTCTTCTTTTTCTTGCTCTTTGGGCCAAGAGACCTGGATACTTGCTTGCTTTTTATTTCCTTCTTGAGTTCTTTTCACTGGAAATATCAACAACACTAAAATGCAGGCAACATGAAGGCTGAAGTACCAAGAGCTGAGAAAGAAAGAAAGAAAGAAAGAAAGAAAGAAAGAAAGAAAGAAAGAAAGTCAAAATAATTTCTGATCTTAGCACAATAATGTTTTAACATGTACCTACCTAATAAGGCCTGCTAACTGCACATCATATTTAAGTATGATTTTTTAATATATTTGAATGGCCAGAGTAGTTTCTCAGCCTTATTTTGATAGTTCAAATGGTAGCTTTTGTCCTGAAGAAATTGAATTGAGGGAACTACCCAGGCCCAACCTTCACCTAACAATATTCTAGCACTGAGAAACTGCAAAGAGGGAGGAGACACAGGCATCATAGTTTATGAAGGTGTTTGTATAGAGGGCAGAACAGAACAGAGTGACATGATGCTGAAGATCTGGAACTGTCTTGTACCAAGTCAAACTATTTACACCTTTTCTTTCCCTCTTCTAGAAGTTTCCTGCAACAATTCTGCCATTAGGGATGAGGGTTTATGGAGAAATGGATTCCAACTGCAAACACGGTATTACTCAAGCTGGACAAGTTTGTAGATAAGTCTTTGTTAGCATATCACGTAGTGCTGTGAGTTGCTAAAATTTACAAGTGTGTCAACAGTTTTCCGTATCTTTGTTTTATTCTTAAGTGCCTTTGTCTTTAAATTTGTACAAGTATTCTAATAAAAGTTCTATATAAGATAAACTACATTAAGTGTGGTTTATTTTTTTCTTAAATATTTCAGGTCACATAATTGTAGCAAAAAATAACATGGGATACTTGTTAACCTTTGTTTACTAAGCACATATGAAATAAACATGCTCCATCAAGTTGATCTCTGCAGAAGCCTTCTCCTGGTATGTTCAACTTCCATTCCCCTCAGCATGAGCCAGTATGGCCAAGATTCAGCAACACTAAGTAGAGGGCTGTAACCAAACTATTCAGCTTTCTGAATGTTACCCATATTTGTAAAATATTTTTTTCTACAAAATGATTTTTAATACTTTTTCTCCCTACCTGTTCTCCATCATTTCAGGGCCATAAACAAATTTTGATATGCAGACCATGGTGAACTTCGGTTTGCTATGTAACAGTTATGAGTAGAAACGATGGCCAAAATGGATTAGAGGAAAGTGGCTAGATTTGAATTATGGAATGTACAGAAACTCCTCTTTCATGACCACCAAAGGACCTTTTCAGGCATTGCCCACATATTTTCTACTGTATCTCTAACTTAGAACCTTGTTTTTGACTTTGTTTTATATGAAATCTGAGAATCCAGATTTCCTACTTCTCAACCAGGCACAATACATCACATTAAATTATATGCACATGGAAGTCAAGAAAAGCATACTGGTTGTTCAGTTGCCAACAATCATGAATAACTAACTTCCCACTATAATTTTGTTTTTAAAAGTACCAAAGTGTCAACTTACCTGTAAAACATGTAAGATGGTTTTACAGAGAGAAGTACAAATGGCACTACTGTATAACTTATTGCTATTTGAGTCATCATCCATGTCACAATATCATAACATAACTTAATGACTGGAGAGTTAATAAAGTAGTGTCTGATGTTCTTCCTAATCTAAACAAGCAAAAAAGTAAGACAAGGAGTAAGTTAAATTGGAACATCTTTAAAGAACAGCTAGTATATTGTTCAAATATAAAGAAGGGACATGTTATTATCTTTACATTTTGTAATAATATGTTCTATATTAATAATTTCCCCCTAATCACATTAAATAATTTGCAAGCCTCCTTCTGGCCCTTGGAAACCTATGCAAGCACAACAATTACCAAATCAGTTCATGGCCTCTATTTGAACAGGTAACAACTGTATATTCACCACCTGCTTCTCCAACTTCCTGACTCCTGTACGACCTCCAAAATTTCACATCACTTCATGTTGCCTCCTTGTCCTTTCTCACTCTTTTTGTGGGTTTGTTCAGCCTGCTTTTGCCTGGTTTATCCTTATTGAAGGATGGCTCTTATAAAGCAACCCACTCGTATTAATTGTAGCAATGCTGTTTTAATTCCAGTTGACAGGGAGTATGTGGAGATAGATGCTAATGCACTCGTGCCCTACTTTTGTGTTTCCCACAGGCAACTGGTTGACCACTGTGTGAACAGAATACCGGACGGTATGCACCTTAGCCTGATCCAGTGTGGCACTCTTCAAGCAACAAAAGGGCTCAGACCAACTGTGATCCATCTTTCACTGAAACAGTGATGCAAGCCAAGTAATATCTTTCTGTTTTCTCAACTCAAGTTTGAAAGGTTTGGAGAGTCAGCACACAATTATTCTACCTATATGGTACAGTTAGAGCTGTAGGGTAGAGTTTGGGGGATTTTGTTACAGATGTACAGTGGTACCTCGACTGACGAATGCCTCAGTTCACGACCAAATCGGGTTGTGAACAGAAATTTCAGGAAAATGTTTCCTCAAGTCGCACACTCCACATCAGGTGATGATCGTGATCGCACCCATCTCCCCCATGAGCCCACCTGAAATCGTGCCCATCTTCCCTGTGATTAAAAAAATATGTACAGAATGGATTAACCTTATTTACATTGAACCTTATGGGGAAATTTAACTTGGCTCATGACCAATTTGGGTCACAACCAGAGTCATGGAATGGATTAAGTTCATAAGCCAAGGTACCACTGTATTACATGGTTTTGAAAAGGTTGACTCCATCTAACAAAGGACCAACATAAGTGGTTTTCCTTGTTTTAACATAAGCATGAAAAGCAACCTGGACTTTACAAAAACACTTCATTGTTACAGACAAGAGGTGCAGTGACACTTACGGTTCGTGCTGCGAGTGTCATCAGTACGCCTGTTAAGAACGTTAAATAATATCCAGGATACACCCCATGCCAAATGGCTGACAAGATAAATGTTTGTATTGTTGGACTGAAGGAGGCTCGTTCATAGCATACTCTAAAAGTTCAAAGAGAAAATGACCCATATATGAGGGAAAGGAGGAAGTGAAAGTCAGTAAAATTATGGCCTATCAAAAATAAGTCTCTTTTTTCATCACTGAACCTTTCAAACACGATCGAGGGCAGTCCCTCCACTGAATCCCATCCTATGCCAGATACACACCCTCTGAGAATCTGATTGCCCACTCCAAGATGACTACAAAGACAGTCTTTGATATATTACTTTCCCATTAGATAAAATGGTTGAGATACTGAATTGCCCCCACAGCTGTCAGACTATGACACAGCTCTGATGCCACATAAGATGGGTTGGATTTTGCTTAGAAGAATGTAGTATATTCTCAGTACCAAACCAAACTGGAAAGCAAACTTGGCCTCTAATGAATAATAAACCTATAGGTCATGCAGGAAGTTTCCTCCTTCCACAACAAGGAACCATCCTTTTTCAGTACAATCCGTGTCTGCTACTACTACAACAGAATGGCTTGGTTCTTAAGATAAGTTAACTTCAGCAGATTCATAGAAGCATCTTCCTTTCTCTCACTCCAGGCACTTGTAGCACCTCCAAAGCCTCTCTGGATGACCAAGGGGCCCTCCTGAATAATAGGGTATAGGAGACAGGAAATTTTATCCTCCAAACTGGACATAACCCAGTATGATCACTGCTCCCACATTAGCCCCCTGCTCCTCATCCCACAGTAGCATAGGGATGAGGAACATTCTGCAAATGTCTTTAAGTTTAAAATTATCTTAGAGTCTAGCTAAGGAGTGTAAGTCCCAGGTCACGCATGTTCTCCTGTATTCAGAACCTGGAAGACAATGTGTCTGGGGCACTGGAAGAAATACAAAATTTCTCAAGCAATCCATGTTTCTTTGGTATTTTGGGAGCCTGTACCATTGCATTCCATAAAGTTAAGTTTATGCCTATTCATTAGGCCACCTTGGTGCGTTATCCCATGTTGTCCCTGGCTTCAGGACTGAAGCAGAGCTTTTACTGATTTGGTGTAACAACTTCAGCTGCACGTTGATGAGAACTTTCTGCCCCCACAAAACCTGGGCAGACTGTTTCCAGCTAGCTTGTGATTGGCTAATAGGGATCTCCTCAGATTTACTAAAGGCTTTGGAGTATTAAACCAGGGGAACAAGAAGACACCTTTGTCTTTGCTTGCTTTGGGTTTTCCCTGTCCAGTGTTTTCTTTGGAGGGCTTACTTTCTGAAGTCTTGTTTTACTGAAGACCCATTCCTTGCTACCTATAGACAGGTTTAGCCAGTTTTGTTGTTGGTAAGCACTGTTTACAAATATTGTTCCAGTACTTTTCTTATGTCTTTTGTCTTTTTTGTAAATACGGCTGTCAGCTGTCCCATCTGTCCCACCTTTGTTTCAGGTGGCCATGGAACACTTGGCTATTTCTACTATTTTAAGGTTTTAGGCCTCAGGCTTTGCATCAGAGGGTGCTGACTTGGCCTTGTTTCATAAGCCTTAGGGATATCCCGCAAGTTCTTTTTCTGGCTCAGGCAGAGCTGGATGTAAGGACTGGTGACAGGCTACCTTCCTGGGCTGGTGTGAAATCCAAACACCATTTGTCCCTGCCTATGCTACTAGGAATTTAGGATACTCCTCCCTTCCTCCCTTCACTCACATTAGTCCACCACTGTAAAAGTATGAGACTTTTAAAAGGTGGGGGCCCACTAAAACTCAAGCATCATCTAAGTGTAGCTGTCCTGGCCACTATGACAACAGTGCCCTTAGAAGCAGCATAACAGGCGACCGAATGGAGTAGAAACAGTGCAGAACTGACTATCCCCAGGCACAACTGTTCTACCAAAGGCCCTTGGGAAATACTAATGAGAAAAAGGAGATATCAAAAATAGTACCTTTTAAGCCAAAGAGCTGTCTGGATATTCCAGTTATCAAGAAACATCTTGAAACTTGTTGAAAACTGTAAAACACACCATTCATTAATTTCAGTAAAGCAGAGGTGATCCCTGTGCAGTTATTTATTGCATAAAAGCCATCATATTTACTCATTATGTAATCTACAGTGGCAAGCGAGCCTTTAAAAGATTCTTTCAGGGATTTGGGGTGGGGGAAGGGGAGTTTGCAATCTGTTCTGCACTATCTTGCTTGTACTATTTGAAATTCGGGAACTGCTAATCACCATTATGTGCCACACAAATCACTGGCTAGCAGAACGCAGTCCAAATCATGACTGGCTCCACCACACACAGACCAGCAGCCTTTGTGAATGGCACTTCTCAGAGTGTGCCCCCCTCCCCCTTTGCTGGAAACAGCAGGTGGCTCATCGGAAAGGTATCTGTGCCCCCTCCTCCTAACCCAGAACAGCAGAACAAGCTTCAGCAGCTAAAGCTCCATAAGAGAGGGAGGATGTCTTCCTTGATTTGCCTAGGCAAGTGTGAGGTGGTTCCCTGTTGTAGTGGTGCTGGGAAAATAGATTTTAAGGCTTTACAGCAGACCAGGGACACTGCTGCAGCCCTTCATGTTCACACAGTTGCAACAAACAGAAATGTCTGGAATGTTGCTGTCTGAGGGGGAGTCTATGGGGGGAAGTGGTAGCCATACTCCTTCAAGAGCTTTACCCCTTGAAGTGTTTTTGTGTGGCTGTCAAAAAAGAGAAAGAAACAAGCTAGGAAAGGCATTATGTATCCCCATTTCATTCCTGACCCCTGATACAGCAGCTGTATAAAAATACAGTTTTGAAGCTTTGATAAAAGGTTTTATTGACAATCGGGCAATGTTAACAAGGACCTTTTCACTTTGTACAGGTACCTGGAAGCGGAGGAAGCTGCATTATGTCCTCTCTCTATCTCTGGATACTTCATGCACAGCAAAATGATCATCCCCATCCAGAAAAAGGGAAAGCTGTCTCCCATGTTAGTACAGCTCTTTCTTCACAGGTAAGACAGGAAGCACTGGAGCTTGTTCCCAGCTCATATAGCAAGCAGCCAGTGACTGTCTAGGAGAAATGGCCACTAACCCTCAGGTAGTAGTTCCTGTAACACCCAGAATGCCAATCTTTGGGCCTGATTTTTAAAGAACCCATGGCAACTGGGATTCTGCCACCCGTCTTCTATTATCTTTAGATCATTCCTATAACAAACATTATGCTAAGGTCAACCCAATACAAATGTGCCATTTCAGAACACCACACTTTCCATGAATATTTTCAGAAGATCCATGTACAAACCTCTATATGCAGAATTCTTAGATTTGAAATTGAATCCCAATGTGAGACTCCATTTTTATCATAGCCTCTAAATCCAAACCCAGCTGCATTATTGATTGCATCTGCTACAAAGAAACAAGAAAATCATTTGTAAGAACCTACAGTCTACATGATATAAAAAGAGCTTTTCATTTTTGTTCCACTGTTAAGCTTGATATGTCCACTTCAAGTAGCATCTCTTAAAATTCTTGATAAAAACCAAACAGCCCCCCCTGAACTGGACTTCCTCGTTGTTCTGAAATGCAAAACATCCAGAACTTTTGTTCATACACATATGAAATAAATATCATTCAGTGGGGCATAAAGTGTTTTGGCTCTCTGAATCTGAGGCCAAAGAAGGCTGCTCTACTGCTCTGCTTTCACACATACCTAATTGACAACAGGGTGGCCATCTCAGTACAAAACAGATGGTGGCAAAAACTTAGTAGTTCAAGTGTATTACATAAAACATTGTGAATGTAGTTTACATAATAGTTTTAAACTTCTATATTAAACCTGTTGTTGTTGTTGTTGGGTTTGTTTGGTTTTAGTTTTAAGTGCTGAACCACCAAGAGGGCTTCAGCTATCGAATGAGATAGAAATGAAATAAATAAAAGTATTTGCTTTCATTTTAGAAGAGTTCAAGACATATAAATAAAAACACTAATCCTGTGTGTCATGTGACAGATCATTATTTGTCTTTTGTTTGTTTTAAACGGTTAACCATCCAACTGAAAAAGACCGTCACAGATTTTCAACTGTGTCCCTTCACATCATGTGACACACCAAGCAGCCTCCTTTCTAGAACTGCAGGGACAGCAGATCCCACAAGGCTACTTTGTCCAGGAAGTCACTAAATCTTTGTGATTCCTTCTGACCCCTACTGGCCTTTGTGTCACAATATACAACACTAGCGTAAACAGAGCATTTCTCGGTCTCTCTCTTTGTTGGAGCAGAAGAAATCCTTTCCTTTCAAAATTATAGTGCCAATCTATCGCAAAATTGCAATAATCTAACAAACTGATTGGCTAGATTAGAAACAGTTTGGAAACCGTCTGCATTATCAGTTGTAGCTTTCAACTCCTTCTCCAAACTGTTTTTAAAAGGCTGTATGGTGAGGCATATAGAAATACTGAGATTTCATTTAAATCAAAAGTATCAGACTTGTAAATTACATGTATAAATGTGTGATTAGGCAGAAAAATATCCTATAATCTCCAGCATGCTCAGCCACCATGGCTACTTGGAGTATGCTGGGAATTGTATGACTTTCTTCTGTCTGAACGCACACAGGATTGTACCCTAAAATAATTAGTCAAATTACTCAGTAAATCTAAATACAGAAAAAGCAATGAAGTCTTGTGATAGCTTAAAAATTAACCAGCTAGCTAGCATAAAATAGTCACCTAAACTGGCACATTTAAGCACACATGGCTAAACCTTGGTGCTGAACTAAAATAAAATGCAAAAACAACAGCAAGTGGCAATTCAATTTCAGTTTAAATGAATGCAAAAGAAGTACAGTGACTATTGATAAAATAATTGGTGATGGCAATTTTAAAATGATGCAGTGGGACAGGAAGCCATTGTCTCTCTCTAAGCAGAAATGAACAAAATCGAAAGAAAGCAATAATGCTACTATTTGACTAAGAACAATGTTTTCTAAGAGCTATTACTTAACTATGAAGCTATATATGCTTAAATTCTCTTAAAATAAATTGTTAGCAGCTAGTATATAATTTCCTTTATGGTTTAAGAAAATTCTCCTGGTACTTCTCGCAAGAGCTCCTTTGAGCATAATAGTTTCTTCTCAACCCACAAGAGGGCGCTGCCTCAAATATATTCCTTAATACATTTTTATACAGGCTGCACTGAAATATTCTTCACAGAAGACTACTTACCCAGAGTCCATGCAAAATAGTATTTGGGTCTGGCAGCCATGAGAGACAAATACAGGTAGATAACTCTTGTAGGTAATGATGCTGTTGCTCTGAAATGATCATCAATGTTGTATTCTACAGGCAAAGTTTTGCAAACAGTCATATGAAACAATAAGGAGAGTCCACACACGACGAGTTTCTGCGCCACAGCTATCTGAAACATGCAAGATGTAAAACTCTGTGAGTATCTTTTAAAAATAAGCCCTGCACATCAGATGGATGCTTTAAACTTTCTTCATTCAACATATGAAGGTACTTTAGTTTGAGAAAAAATGAATAATATTGCTTTTGCTTGATTAAAATAAATTATGCATTGGAGCCTAAACATGCCTTGTCTACTTTTTCTAGTAGCAATTAAAAACCCTTAAAACTTCAGGATATTGGGCAAAATGGATGCATGCCACATGATTTGACACTAACTCTAGTGCCCTAACTCAAATATTACTTTTCATGATCTAAGATAAATGTGTACAGGGGACCTTCACATCTCCTTCATAAACAGATAGGTGAGATCACCAGAAACACAACAGGCATCTACTTTTGCCAGTGCTCTGAACATATAAAATTAAACTGAGCTGTGAACAACAGAGGATGGGACCATATGCTGTGCACTCACAAATACACTGGAACTTTCATTCATATACCACCAATGAAAAATCCTAAAATCTCAACAGCTTAAGAAGAAATCCCTAGCTTAGTCAGATAATATTTTCTTTCCCTCTACTTCAACCAGCTCTGGCTACAGCTCCCTACCAAGATCAGGTTTATTCCTGGGAAAAAGGTAAATCTACAAGACAGTGGCCTAGACTGAATGCAGCACAAAATCATCAGATCAGACACTTTCAATTCTATTTTCACCTATCCATCGTTACTCCTTACATCTGAACCAAGAGTAAATTAGGGAAACAAGCCAGGATTATTAACCATGCTTTGAAGTGGGCTGATTCCTTAAAGCATAGTTAACACTAATCGCACTTTGTCTGGGTTTGAACATAATGAATAACTTCCATTAATTCGTTGAACGAGCACCCAGATGCTTCCAGTATTCTTGGGCCATGGCCAGAGGAGAGACGTTGCTGCTGTTCCTGCATGCAGCACTTAACTATGGCTCGGAATTGCATGCTAACCCAGCCAATGTGACTTTTTCCCCGTTTTTTCTCTGGGATTAGGCTTCATCAAGGCACAGATTTATTATCCTCGGTGTGCTAAGAAATAAGAAATAAATCTAAAGTTTTCTAGTTAAATGCTGGACTGAGATCCAGGCTCTAGTCCCCAACTGGCCATGAAGCTCGCTGTATGACTTTGGGCCCTGACTTTAACCTACCTCACAGGGCTGTTGTAAGGAGATAATAAAATGGAGGAGGAAAATTATGTAAGCCACTTGGGGTTTATTAAACAAAAAAGGAGGGCTTCTTAAATAAATAACCAGATTTTCTGAGCTGGGTTTGGTTAATTGCAGCAGACAGTGGGATTTTTAATGCAGGTCTCTCTGCACTTTAAGCTTTTAGGATACAGCCTATCAAGAAGCACATGGTCATGCAGTGAGCATCCTACATGTGCTAGTTTATCACTAGTTTATCCATGTCTACTCCAAAATATATCCACTGATGTCACCTGGGCTAACTTCCAAGTAAGCATAGAAAGGACAACTTAAATGCCCTTGAGCTCTGCTAGCTATTCTGTTAGGTCCAATCTCATTTGCTCCAAAGATCTTTTACATACATAAACAACATGCACTGTTGAAGTGCTGTCTTTAAAGAAACATTCTATAATATTTATATTTTCAAAGACTATTCTAAAGTTAAGTACAAGGGTTAGCAATAGTTCCTTTCTTTTACTACAAATCCTACTATCTAAGCCACATCTAATCTTATAGAGGAAAAACTAGCACACCAGTGCAGTACTGTCAAATACTCATGTTCTTATTTCATGTGATACTACTGCCTAGTCTAGAAAGTTACCTAGCCTTTGATGGAAGAGAAAACTGTAGCATGTTCTTTACTGTTCACCATTGTTCCTTATGCTTTGCAATTTCACCTCCTTTTCCAACTTGTGTTCTTTCCACTGCTCTCTGTTCCCAGTTTCCCTGTTTATCTATTGCTACAAGAAAGAAAAGCACAATGCTTGAGCCCCTTTCATTCACCCAACCAAGAAATAGCAGAGATCTAGATTTAAACAAACTTCATTTGGCTTAGGTTTATTAAAGCCATCAATTCACCAAATATTTAACCTATCACTGTTCCTCCTATGTTTCCCAACAAATATTGCTTCAAGTAAGTAACTGTAACAGGGAAAATATGGCTTAGTTTATCAATAATGTAAGACTAAGCTCTGGCTCACACACACACTCCAGAGCACAAGTCTAATATTCTGATCTACAACTGACTCCCTGGGGGCACCAGGGGAAAACTGTCTCTGAATCCATTCCACTAGATTTGATTAAATTTCCTATCTTGCAACACTGAAGTTCTGAGTGACAAAATGTTTTATCTATGGCTATGATAAGGTTTTTTAAAAAATGACTAATTTTTCAGTATCCAACCAGAAACACTTTCATACTAGCAGTATTTTAGTTAAATATTAAATCCCATTTTCCTAGATCATTAAATTATACTTTAATGGAAGCAATGATTAATAATAACTTCCTACTCTGGTATTTTCAAATCATATTTACAATTGCTTACAGACTATAAACTATAATTTCTAACTCTTTTCATTTCATGCATTAATAGAAAGCTGAATAAATCCTACAGTTTTTGCTCCGAGTCTGTGTTCGAATTATAGGTTGTTCCTTCCTCAGCAGCCCAGAACTCTAGGTTCATGCATCACAGGGACTCCTTGGGCTGCTTATTGCAGCAGAATCTGACACTGCTGCAGGAGCCATCCCATGTGCATGCTGTCCCTGCATTATTAACCATGGGATGTCACTAATGTGTGATCTAGGTCAACTAGATTCACTTCTTAGGTCCTGGGCCATGATCCAAAGACATGATAAAGCATTAAACAATTACACTATACTATACCAACTTTCCACTTTGCCACATTAGTGCTCCATAACTGCACATTAAAAAACATTGTTTTACAATATTACTCAATATGAACATTTAATCATGTATTTGTATCTGATTCACTATCCCACTGGAATCAATAGAAAGACAGGGACAATAAATTTTCAGTCAGGCTCTAAGTCGTTAAAAGTTTAACACTCTTGTTTGATGCCCGCTTTGCAGCTTCACCACTTGTAGTTAGCTCAGGAAAGGAATGTGACTGAAATAAAGCTTGTGGCCTTGGGATTGCACACACCAGCTTAAGCATTCACTGGAGGCAATTAACCGGGGGTGCGGGGGAGGGTTGACTGCTAGAAGTATTTCTAAGAAGCCAGAAGCCAGAAGCAAGGGAAATTTGTTCCACAGGAACATGGGAATATAAGGGGAGCTTATAGCTATAAGAAAAATAAACTTACGAAGATAGACATTAATTTCAGACAGTTGACACCACTTTGAGCACCAACAAATGATAGCTTGTAAAAAGGCATAATAGGAGGGAGATATGAAATAAATCACTTGAGAACGTTGACTAGATTCAGTTAACATGCAACTAGCACAGTAGAAACTGTTATATTAAGCTGATATCATGCGCCTACAAAGTTAACAAAGAAGGGGCTGTCATTAATTTTATTTTACGGAAATGAAATTCAAACAAGAAAGGAAGCTTATTAGATTAGGCAGAACATGGTTCTTTCATCTAGAGCGTCACATTTGCTGATCCTCATTACCCATAAGTTAAACTTAATCTAAGAATATTGCACTATTCTTCCCATTTTTTCATTCATTGTGAGAATCCAGCACCCGCTTCCCCTTCCCCCCCATCATCTTAAAAAGCATTTCAGCAAGATAACAAGATGGAAGTGCAACTTTTTCTGTAAGAAATCAAGTTGACATAGCAACTTGATACAACAAATGCAGGGAAAAGAAAATGTTAGATCATTTACATTATTTCCCAAGAAGCACAAACTTATTCACTGGTGTAATAAAATGCAGCCAGATTTCTCTTAACACTAAGTTGCCAAGTGCAAAGTATCAATTCAAGGACATATACAAGTTCTCTTAAAAGTAATGTCAGAAAGCTAATGCGGCATAAATAACGGAACAAAAATGTCTAGCATGTCAGCAGTGCAAGAAAGAAAGCTTACCTGTGGATGACTGATTACTTGATATTTTTGAAGGTGATGATCATTAATAGATCCTCACTTATAAATCTTGTCAGATACTTGAGAGCCTTTTAGTGAGTTTATATATAAAGGAAAAGGCCATGTATTTGTCGATCATATAATTGTTTATAATAGTAACAGAGAAGACTTTCTAATTTGGGGAAAGGTGGGGGTTGGAAATGAACTCCTGAAGTTTGAAAGTCCCTTAGCTATTCTGAATTGACCTCATATTAACCTGCACCAGCCATTTCACCTACCAATTTCCTTTACCCCTTCTTTTCCCACAATCTCACAAACTTGCTAAGTTGTGAAATGGGGGTGGGGTGGCAGAAAGACAAAGACACTTCTTCTTGTTGTTCTTGCAGATATACATTCTCATTTTTTTACACACACACACACAAACGAGTGATCAGGAAAAAAACAAGAGGTTTCCAGAGGGAGCTTTAATTAAGGGCATCTGCTTCTAAGGAACTATTCATTCTACACTGAAGATTTTTGAGTGTATAATTTGTTTACTGTACCAGATAAGCATATATTGTCTACCCAATAAACAAATGGCATATTGATTAAAAAAGACATCTTATTAATGTCATTTTTATGTTTTTATCGTACTGTTCTCTCCTCTTGGATTCATATGCAAAAATGAAATGCTACAAAGCACAACATTCAAACTCCAGCTCTGGAAACCGAGCCATTTTGTCTTATTTAACTAAAGAGCTGCACACAAAGCAACAAAACGTAATAGTATTAGTGCTTTAAGATTGGAATCCTGTGCACATTTAATGTGGAACAAGCTCCACTGAACACAGTGGCAGTCATGTCCAAATAAATACGTACAGGATTGATCTGCAAGAGGATAATGCCATCATCTTGAAAAGCAGAATTATGTGGTTCATTCTTCATCTCTTAGTAGTATCTGATAGGAAGAGATGTATGTGCACAGAATGATAGGACAGCACTACTGATATTGCTGGAGTTTGCAGTCCTCTAGTTCAAAACACTAATTTGCTCAGGTCGTAATACTTAGTTGTATTAAGTATTTGTATCTCCTCCTCTGAAATCTTCGCTGGTTCAGAAAATCGAGATGAGATTCTAAATATTCACACTAAATTATTCTGTATTCTGGCTAACCAAGCAGAGTTTTGAGGCGATTGGACCAAAATACATTCATTGAATGGCAAAGCAATCATGCAGAAATGGGCAGTGGGGAGTGTCTCACTGCATTTACTCAAAAAAATCCTTACGTGGACCTACAATCACTAGCTCTGAAGCAAAATATTTTGATTTTCAGTGAAAGGAATACTGAGCCTGCAACTGTATGCACATTTACCTGGGGCTAATTCCCACTGAGGATAATTGGATTTACTTCAGAGCAATACGTATGTATAGAGTTGAAGGGAGTCTGGGAACCAGCTGCCATTGGTGCCTCATTTGCTCCATCCTATTCTACCATTTTTAATTATTTGAACAAAATGATTGAAAATAGTTATACATTTTTGAAATCGGAGAAATATACAAATATAGTGCCTAAATGTAGGCTATGAAGTAAATGGAGGGAGCATGCATTCACTGTGCCATTACTGCAGGTACAAATTTATAACCCGTGTACTTCCTAAGCATTACATTGTGTATATTTCTGCATTTTAACTGCCAGTGAGCTGCAGCAGTTGCAGCAATAAGTACTCTGAAAAATAGCCTGAGAAGGAAAAGAGATACTCCCCTTTCTGGAGTACCTGGAAACTAGGGGAAGGATTGCAAAGCCTGTGTAGTATGGGGGTAGAAATGGTGGCCTGGGGACCCAGGAGACAGGGGTTCTAGTCCTCATTCTACCATTAAGCTCTGTGGGTGACTCCAGCCCAGTCATGGATCCTAGCCTAACCTACCTCAAAGGGTTGCTGTTGTGAGGAGAAAATGGACCCATGAAGGCTGCCTTGATTTCCTCACAGGAGGAAAACGGGGGGATATATATGCAATGCAATAATAGTGCATAACACTGAGAACTATTTCTCACCCAAAACTGAGAAAGTGGGGAGATCTTATCCCCCTGCTTTGGGTGCATCTTTGTTTTTCCCCCCTTTACTAGTACCAGGAAAGAAATTGGTCCCAGGCAATTATGTGCCATTTTGCCTATATGCAGTCGTGCCTTGTAAATCTGCTTCCCAGTATACTCTACCACTCCCCACTTTTTAGAGGCATCATCCCCCTTCCCCCCAAAAATAATTGGCAGTGGATGAAATGGGTAGTGATCAAGGTGGAGATCGGGAGACAAGATGGGTTCGGCTGCAAAGGATGCTGGGTTAGCAGCTGCTGAACCAAGGGGAAGAGAGAGAACAAGCAAGCCACAGTGAGCCCAATTGCCTGCCAGCTTCAGCATGGATCACTTAGCATGATGTACAAACACAGACTTAAGGTGAGATCCAAATATCACAAGGATCTGTCTCAAAAGGGGACAAGGATCTGCCCCTTTGCCTGGGCAGAGCTCTGCCTTTGCATTCTTTGGGTCCCAACCACTGTGTTGATAACAATTCACATTGTTAGAGCAAACAAATATTTTCTTGTTCATTTCCTTCTCACCCACTTTAAATTAACTTAAACCACCAAAAAGGTACACTGCATATTTCATACCCTGCAAATCTTTCATTATTTATTATTGCTTGATGGAAAAGTGCAGATATTTAGTGTTATAATTGTTTTACACCCTTTGCACTATTGTTAGCTTCTGGCCAGAAACTAAACTTGTCTGGGGTGAAAACTAGCAAGACAGAGGCCATGGGACTTGTGTTTAAAAATATGGTTAAACAAAGTCAAATTATATATTTCTTAGTGTCTAAGCCAAATATATACAAGGCAGAACATCTTAATTATTAACTCTTAATACATTATTCTGCAATTTTTAAATTACAACTATGTATACATATGTAATATGTAAATAGCTATAATAAATAAATATAATACAACTATTCTTGGTTCTTGATTCTTGTCTCAGCTGATGGTCAATCTTGCAACTAAATATATTATTAAGGCCACTACCATAGATATAGATGAAGTCTATGTATTTTAAACAAGTTAGATGGCAACAGAAATATTTAAAAAGAAAATAAATTGTATTTATCCATATAAAATATATATTTGTGGCACTGGATAGGTTTATAAGAATACCAATCTCAGGCTTTTCACAGTACACAAGGTCCAGAAGTGAGTATCTATGCAGAATAGCTACCTTTAGATAAAGATAGTATTTCCTTTTTGAAGGTAGAACTGTACCATTCATGAATAGCACCATGCATGGTCCAGATACAGCTTGAGAGTTGTGCCTGTAAAAAACAAATAATGCAAACCAGGCTTCTCATGCAAGGACAAGAGAACAGCAGCACCGCAAAAGCTACAGGTCTTACATTTGGAGAGGGATCTGTTTGTTCATATTTTATCTCTTCTTTCCCATTTGCTTCAGACTGTGTCAGCTGGTATGATCTGCCTTCAATGAAAGTAATATAGTCTTTATAAGAGCATAATGGGCCTGCCAGGATACCCATGAAATTACAGTTGTAACTTAAATACTCCAGCAGACTTGGCATGCGCCTGTAATTCAAAGACAAGCAACTGGTGAGATTTTACTTAAGTTTTACGAGACAACTCTACTGTAAGAATAATACTAATACCAACACAGTGATTATGTGCTAGGGGAAATTGAATGTCAAGCTGTCATTACGCCTTCATTTTGAATGACAGACAGACAAAAAGATAAGAGGTTTGGAAATGAGAGATCATTGTGCTTGCTAGTTCTTTATGTGAAGTCTTTGTGTGCGTTTCCATGCTATTAGCACTTGTCCACAGATCAAGGTGGACTTAAAGGATGCTGTTCACAATATGGTACACAGGTCTGATTTTTGTTTGGGATGAAAATCCAAGAGTGTTGAAATCCCTTGACACTCCACAAGAAATGTGTCTAAATGAAATTTGAAACTCGGAGCCTCTAACTGTCAATATCAAATCCAAAATGGGTTATATGAGTCTTAACACACTATATTCAAAGTGACTTATTAAAGTATATTTATACCCTAATGATTATTTTTTAGCCAAAAGTTTAAGATGGTTTTTACTATATTATACACAAATGGGAAGGAAACAATTCAGTTTAAGGGTTCTGTTCATCTCTCTGTCTCCAGCTAAGCTGCACAATGGCTGACGGGACATGGAACCAAAGGAGCCAAGTAGCAGTTTTCAGTGCAATGGAGAAAAGCTTACCTTACAGCTAAGCATCTCTGTGATGGCGTCAGGTCCTCTGCCTTTCGGAACATTCCTGTTGATGAGGGAAAGAAATAAAGTAAAGTACATTGGATTGGTTCAGATATAAAGATGGACCACAGTTTAATGTCATGAAAACAAGGTGCAGCAAGCCCAAAGAGAAAGAAAGATAACTTTCCATATCATCCAAACCAAGGCAAATTGTGGCTTAATCTTAACTATGGTTAAATAAATAAGCTAACTTCAAACCATTATTTACAGATCTGGCTTGTTTTAATTAGCCATAGTTAAAATTAATCATATTTTAGGATTTGGACAGCACACTAAACTGTGTTTAATTTACAATTCCCCAGAAAAGAAGGGGTACTACATGAAGCTGAGGCCCACTAAAGCTTATTCTCGTAACATTAAGCCATGGTTTAGCATTGTATCTTAATGCAGCTGTTAACTCCCTATTATTGTACAAATTAATAAGGCCTGTTTCCTGGTTAATCTGCCTTTCCTTTCTAAACCTGTCAGACATCATAACTATAGTCTAGCACAGTGATGGCAAAGCTATGGCACACATACCCGGAGGGGCACTCAGAGCCCCCTCTGTCGACATACGATCACCCCAGCAGCCATGCGCATATTTGGAAAGATTGGGCAAAGACATCACTCATTAGCTGTGTCTCTCCGAGCTTTCACATGGCCAGTCAGTGAGCTGCCAGGGATTTGCTTGGACTGGCTGTGATTTTAGCAAAAGGTAGGAAATACACTCAGGACTGGCCAAAAGCTGGTGGTCAGCAAATTCAAGTTCTATGGCAGTGTTTATTATTTATTTATTTATTTATTTATTTGGAATACTTATATGCCGCCCGATTCACATAAGCCTCAGGGCAGCTTCCAACAAATAAATATCAATACAATTACAGAAAAAACTGGAAACATCTCCGGCATAATCATTTAAAACCAATAAATAAATCAACACTTAATTAAAATAACATTTAAATAAAAAGGTCTTGGCCTGGCGCCGAAAAACAAATAACGACGGCACCAGGCGGACCTCACTGGGGAGCGCATTCCGTAAGTGGGGTGCATTCCACTTTGCCACTTTTTTAACAAAGTGTTGGCACTTTGCAAACGTAAGTGGGTTCTGAGTTGCAATTGGGGCACTCGGTCTCTAAATGGTTCGCCATCACTGGTCTAGCATATCTAGACTCTTATGAAAAACCAGGCACCCCAGGTTTTCCATACACAAACATTATATAAAAATGAGGAACTATTCAACAAGCAACAAATTAGTATTCAGATCATTAAACTATCATAGTTATTCTTTCTTGGTAATATGACTCAGCTCTCCTATACTGTGTGGCTTCAGTTTGGCTTTATAAGCAGGGATCCTCACTCTGAATAATGTTCAGGATATGGGCAGAGAACACAGAATATCCTCCAGAGATGGTTCAGACTGTCATTTATTCATTTATTTAAAACTTTTATATGCCGTCTCCACATGCGCAGCATCTCGGGATGGCTAACAACATAGAATTAAAACAATAAAACAGTAACAAGTACAGTAAAATCATACAAAAACAAAAAGCGACTGTTAACGATGAAATTAATTTTTAAAATAGCCATTAAATAAAAAGGTTTTAACCTGGCGCTGAAAAGAATACAGACTGAGCACCAGGCACACCTCACCAGGAAGCACATTCCATAACCTGGGCACCACCGCAGAGAAGGCCCTGCTCCGGGTAGTTGCTCTTTTTATCTCCTTTAAAGAGGGCTCCCGGAGCAAAGCCCTTCCCACAGATCTTAAGGGGTGTGAGGGCATGTAAGGGAAGAGGTGCCTCTTCAGGTATCCTGGTCCCAAGCCGTTCAGGCCTTTACAGGTTAAAACCAGCACCCTGAATTGGGCCCGGACTGGGAGCCAGTGGAGCTAATAGAGGACTGGCGTTATGTGAGAGTAACGGCCAGTCCCTGTCAGCAGCCTGGCAGCTCTGTTCCGTACCAGCTGAAGTATCCGGACCATTTTCAAGGGCAGCCCCACGTTGAGTGTGTTACAGTAATCCAAGCGGGAAGTTACCAGAGCATGTATCACTGTTGCTAGGGAGGGTTGCAATTTTTTTAAGTTAGCTACCACATAAAGTTCCACACATTAACAGTTATACATAGTTACACAATCACCCCTCCATTTCCTGTTTAAGACCAAGTAAAACCAAATATCAGCCCAGATTTCAAGAGAAGACATTAATCACAGAGGATCTGGGGTGAGGGTGGGTCTGCCCTACATCTTACCATCATGAATTTCATATGCCAAACTCGTTATTTTCTGTGTGATTATCATCATGGGGCTGTGAAAGAGAAAAGACTTCAAAACAAGGAAATCAGATCACATTCATAAAAATCATGCTTTCCTATGGGATGAAAAGTTTGCCTGTAATAGGATATTCCCTGCCACCAATTTCTATTCCTACTACAAGAACTTTCATTCAATAGGCTCAGACAGCTCTGAGAAGTGAAGCCCAGTGGTGTTGACTCCGATATAAAACCAAATATCTATTTTTAAAATTCTGTCCAGGAATTCAAATAAATGTTAGAGGCCTCTTGGTTTCCATCTTGGAATAATACACAGGTATGCTGGATAGATCTCCTGATCAAAACCCAGAGGACTACTACTCAGTGCAGTTTTATTAAATGAATTTCTATTTTGTGGAGATGTTAATGTATAACACCTAGTTTTATTGCTTCCAGAATTAACATAGAATATCTTTATAATCTTAAAGATTATAACCCAACAATTACTTGGATTTTGTTGTTGCTGCTGCTGCTGCTCAAAAAGTTGGTTATACAATCTGTTCTTTGATAGCATCTTTAGAAACTGGCTGCTGGTTTTACTTGCGCAAGTTCACATATATGTATGTATGTATGATTTTATGATGATGTTATATGCTTTTTTCTAGGCACATCTAATACAAGACTAGGGATATAACCTATTACGAGTTGTTTTTATCATGCTCATAACTTGTACCAGTGAAACTGATTGAAGCATCAATAATCAACAGAAGCTTAATGGGTTAAGCACTGGTGGACAACTTTAAATATTCAAGGAGGGACTTTACTTCTGGAGGCTATATTAATTCAGGCATATCTCTGTAACAGAGAATGAAAAAGAAAGTGATAAATATGGCCTTTAGATATATCAAGCTATGGACAAGAACCAGCAAGTTGTATGCTATATTGTGATTCAGTGGCTGGAGCACCACACTATGACCAGGGAGACTCAGGTTTAAATCCACATGTTGTTATGCAAACCCATCGTCCCAGTCATTCAGTCATGCACTTCTCTGAGCTTAAGCTTACTTTATGGGGTTCACTGTGTGTATGAAAAGCACAGAGGCATTGGAAGCAAGGTGGGATAAAAAAGTAATAAAACAAGGGTTTCTAAGAGACTGTTCAGAATATGAAGGGCTTTTATAGAAATGTTATAGAAAACCAGGATTAAACAGTAATTTCCAATCCTGGTTTATGGATTTGGATTTGGATTTGGTTTGCCACAAACCAGAAATAGAAGCTTCTGATCTCTTTCCCTCAAACGCAATAGTGGGAATAAAAGGAAGGTCCAAATGAGTCACATCTTGTTCTCACAGCATCTAACAGCCCCATATTGTTCATGCTGATGTATATATTTACATCTATACACTCTAAATGCAAATTACATGATTTCCCATCATGACAGTTACTCACACTAGTCCCCACATTTCCTCCCCACAAATGTTTTAGAGATTTAGGGGAGGAAACTAAAACCTTGTCATGCCATGTCTATCAACTGTCCTTGCAAACAGATTTTTGCAAAATCTCCAGAGGCGAACAGGAACCACTGTTACCAGGGAGAAGTGACTGAAAAATCAGGATTGTCCCTGATAAACAGAACTACTGAAATACTGTAACATACCATTTCAGCTTGTTAGGTCCATGCATTTGCCCCGTAACTATTAGCATACAGCTGACTTTGAAAAATTGCACTTATTTTAAAAGCAATAAAAAGTAATTAGTGTCTCCGCACAACCAGCCTGGGTCTCCTGCATCATAGTGAATAAATTGTTTGCTCCTCTTAGAGGCATGGGTAATGATAATAGCAGAGAAAGCAATATAACAAAGATTCATCAGTCCTCAAGAGAATGCCATCCCGATTACACAGTTCACTGTAGAAAAATGAAAACACATTTTTACAAATATAAATCATTTTTTCCTATTGGAAACAGTAGCCCTGTGCCACAAAGTGTAGCGGTTAAACATAGCCATGCACAAACAAGATAGGAATGTCTGTGTAACAAGCATACTCTTGAAGTGCAGGCGAAAATTAATTCATATTCAGAGTCATTTTTGTAAAAATGTTCTTGAGGAAGGGCTGTCTACGCTGTCTGAGAGGAACGCAATATTAGAAACAAGCAAAATATTCCATCTGAGGTGGACCCTCCCTTCCCCAAGTAATGTAGAACCATCTTGCCCCAGGGAGAGAAGACAACAAACAGCATGTCAGATAAATTAGCTAAAAAGAGCAGCTGTGCCAAGAGCAGGTGGAAGCATATATTTAAACTCCTGATTAGCCTGTGACAAGCACAGATCTAGCTACAAAAAAGGCAGTTTTTTAATTTTTTTCTTTGAATTTTTATTTCACATCACTTCAGGCACATTTTTAAAAATGGAGCCTGAAACAGCACTTGCACAGTTTGGTCTGTAGGGGGCAAAATAGGAGAAGTTTTTCATCAGGAAAGTGGTACAATTGGGGCCCCAATTAGAAGTCCTGATCTGAATAATCTCTCCCCATCATCTGTTTATATGGTACCATTTAAAAACTGCACAGGAAACCTCAGATCCACAGATTTCATGGATCTTCTGTCATTCCGAAAAGACCAGCATATTGTTGCTTACTGCCCAGCCACTTCCCAATAATTGGTGGTTGGAGAAAAGTAGAAAGACCTTTGAGGAACCCTAGAGGGATGTACTTACTCATAGCCCTTGGACGTAACCCTTTCTTCACACCTGACTGAGGTACAGACTGAGGTTTGGGAGCCTCACTCAGGTAAATCCTTCTGTGTAAAGTCACACTCCTGAAGAGGATTAATTGATGGCCTTCTCATATTACAGATAAACAGGTAAGGATCTCTCAAAGTCACAGAATATAGTTTCCAGAATTTCATAATTATGCAAACATTTACACCATTCCAGGAAATGCATAGTGAATGCCACTACTTTCACAAAAGTATAACACATATAGAAAAGTTACACACTTACCCAGAGAAATCAGCCGAATATTGTCCATAGTCAAAGATATAGACTCTTGAAATTTGGCACACAGTGAGGTATCCCAAAGCAAAAACAAAACAATATCTGAAAGAGGAAAAACAAATCATTAAATTATCTATCCAATAGTCCACCAGACTGCTACAACTTGAATGGATTTTTTTTTAACCTTTATAGTCTTGCAGAGCCTGAGACTCATATGCCTTGCCCTAAACACATCCATGTTGTGATACCCTAACAAGTGTCCCTGTTGTCCACTCCTTCTGTGTGAAAGGTTTAGAAAGCGGTGATTAGGTACTAGGGTTTTTCAACAGTAGTCCAAAGTTAGGGACCCCTTCTCAAAAAGTATTAACCCTGCTCAGTTTCCCAAACATTCCTGTTCTGTCAAGTCCTTTAAAATGAGGATTTACATTTTCTATGACTGCTTTGTCTTATATGTTTTTTTTCTGTAACATTTTGGTTGTTTACTTGTCTGTTTAAGCCATTTGTGGAAAAGCAGTGTTAAAATGCTGAAATGAATGAATAAAGTCAAAGTAAACCAATGCAATTCATTTCACTGTTTTTCTATACACTACAAAATCTGCACACATGTATCTTTGTATTCTGTTTATATATTTTATAGTATTAGGCACGGGCTGGATTTAGAGATGCACAGCCTGGACACACTAAAGGTCCTCTGGTTTCACCCTGTGGTCTTAATTGCAAATAAGTTAGGTTCAGCATTGAAACTGTAGAGTTCAATTTCTTAGAGTACTCAATCGAGAAATAAACTCCATTAGGTCTTACTTCCAAGTAAACAAACAGAGACTCAAACTGCACATTTGATATTGTTACAAAACAAAACAACATGTGTTATAAATACCATATTAATTAAACCTAATTAAATAAGCTTCTTCATGAACACTCATTTAATATGCTTCAGTAATAACTAAGAATGCTTGTTGTTCTGAAACGACTAATTTCCTCTTTGTTTTTTAAACACAAGTGGAGACTGTTAGTTTTACATTAGAGCGGGATCTGTTAATATTTGTAACCACCCATACTATTTTAGCTGTTGCACAAATTAACAATAGTCATATTAAAGCAAGGTACTTAATTTTTCATTGCCTCCCTTCTCCAAGCATTTTAAACATTTCCCACTGGAATATGTTCAAATAAGACATTCTATGATGTTATGATACTGCACCAACTGACAAGCCATTTCCTCGCTATTTCCTTACTTCATACACTACTTCTTCAGCCTTTTCATATCTACTCTGGCTCTCCAGTAGCACTACCAGAGGAGGGAAGTAGCCCACTATATTGCTATAGACAGAACTTTTGAGCAGGAAGGATGCCCAGCTGGAACTCCAGCAAATCCCCATTGGTTGACATAGAAACAGAGCGAGTCAGAAAGGATCCCCTGGGCCATCTAGTCTGACCCCCAGCTCCACCTGGCTCCGCTCATGGCATGCCTACCATGTGCATGTCTAAACTTGACCAACTTAGCAATGAATTAATTGGAGAAAAATTGCCCCCATTTCAACCATCAAACATACACACCCACTGACATCCTTAAAACTTGTTGGATGCACAGAAACAACAGCCATGTAGCTCAAAACTAAGTGGCCATATAACCTCCAAGTATCACTATTTTCAGGGTTAAGCGCTTAGATAATAATGTGACCCTGGGCAAGAATGCCTTGAAAAGCATAGAATTACATTTCCCATGGTTTCCAGATGAATTAGACCAGTGGTGGCGAAGCTACGGCACGTGTGCCACAGTGGGCATGCAAAGCCCTCTCTGTTGGCATGTGAGCCAAGTCAACCCAGCATCGCCCCAGCAGCCAAACATCAGATAACAGCGCACACAGGGGTCATGCACAGGCTCAGAAAGGAGTAGTGGCACCAGGCGATGATGTCACGAGCCGCAACTCATTAGCCATGACTCATCCGAGCTTTCGCATGATCAATAATTGCGCTGCCAAGGATATATATACATTTGCTTGGACTGGCTATCAGTTGTTTTTTCTAAACTAAAACCTCAGTTTTCAGGTTTTATGGCAGTGTTGGCACTTTGCGAAAAATAAGTGGGTTTTTGGGTTGCAGTTTGGGCACTCGGTCTCTAAAAGGTTTGCCATCACTGACTTAGACAATAGCAAACATACTTATGATAGTGCAGGCGGTCCCCGAATTACAAACAGCAGAGTTGCAAACAACCCATTCTTACAAGCAAATTGTCATGAAACTTATTAATTAAAAAAAAAATACTACAGAAATTTGCCATCACCATAGAGAGAGAGGAAGCAAAAGGGGAGAGTGGGAGGGGCTCCAAAGCATCATCATAGAGAGAGAGGAAGCAATCCAGAGAAGGAAAATCCATCCAGAGAAGGAAATCCTTGCTACAAAGAGGAGGTGTTGGTGAATTTGGGTGGGGGCATACCTAGAGATATTTGCAGTTTTTCCTCTTTCACTGGGGTCCTGCCCTCCCAACCCCTGTGAATGTGGAAAACCAACTATACATAATCCAACTTGCATACAAATTTGACTTAAATACAAATTCCCATTTTCTTAGGAACAGAACTCATTCATAACCCAGGGGACTGTCTGTAACCCAGTCTCTGCAGTGGCGCCCAGACTGTGGAATGTGCTCCCCAGAGAAGTTTGCCTGGCACTGAGTTTATATTCTTTTCAGCGCCAGGTGAAAACCTTTTTATTTGAACACTGTTTTAGAATTAGTGATTTTAGGAGCTTGCAGTCGCTTTTTAATTTTATCTGATTGTATTTTTCTTACTATTTAGTGTTCCTATTTATTATTTATATACTGATGTTTTATTGTTGTTTTAATGTTGTATGCCGTCCTGAGACATTGTCATAAAGGACAGCATATAAATGTTTTAAATAAAATAAATAAATAAACATTTACCATATTACCCTGGCTACTACTATTAGTATCAATGCATGGAGCTTTCCCCATCTCTCCTTAACTCATTGTGATTGAGAAAGTGGAGGGCTTGTAAAGACATCATCAGGAGTTCCATGTGGCACGCTTCAAAATCAAGTTTAGGTTACCCAGCAGGCACCCGGCAAATACAACAACTGGTACAGGCCCCCTTTTGAGTTCAATGGAAGGTGGAGGCTCACCTATCAATATTTTGGGTGTCTACTACTACTTCCAAAGGCAGTGAAACACATAATGTGACTCCTTATACTGCAAATTCTTCTGATTTAAAACTTCAATTATCCTGGAAAATATCTGGAAAAGCAAAGCACACTTTATGTGAAACTAACTACAAGCTATAAATAGGGTCAACATCGTTCTTTAATGAAACTCTTAAATTAGCTTAGCAGGAAAAGAAGTTGTGCACGAGGAGTGAAACAACTGTCATGATTTCCATTAATAGCAAATTAATGCTATCCAAGATTACCACAGTGCAAACCTAGTAGTACTACCATTTTAGCAGCTAAGCACATTACCCATAGTGTGCTTATATGATGATGTAACCTTCAATGTTCAAGCTAATATTTTTTACTTATGTGCCACTTTGTACTGATGCAGGCCCAGAGGAAAAAGCAACAGACTACCCCTAGTCACTTGAAGATCTCAGTTAAAGCCACTCCAATGTCTTACAATCCTCTATAGCTCCCCATGGACAATCATGCTCCTCCCAAGAGGCCTCAGGCTGTAGAACTATCCTTGTTTATACATTCATCGCACCTGCAAAATCTACATGGTAATACATCAGCAGAACAGAACTACTAATTGAGAGACTATGTCCTTGCCCTGTACAAATCCAACTTCAATTCCAAATTTACTCAGGTGTACT